TATAAATAGGGGTCCATATTTTCGGATAGCCCACATATAAGGGTACCCCCAATTTTGCGGTATTTTGGGGGGTTTGATCGCAGTTTTCGACCGAATTCGCTGGAATTCGGTACTTTGAGTTCTTATTGGGTAGAAAATCTCTATATCTACATGAACGCGGTTTTCAACCGAATTGTTCTACCTGGTTATATAGTCTTCTTACTAGAACTTATCAATATTGGGCTACTTTTAAAGGTAGCCCTCATCAATTGCATTGGTTTCAATTTGATTGTTTATATTTTGATGAGTAAAAAATCTCCTTATGAAAAATTATTAATATGGGTCCATATTTAGGGGTAGCCCTCACAGAGCGGTACCCTCCCCTTATTCGACATTTTGGGGACGTCGGACACGCAACCGAATTGACTATTTTTTTTTTCTTTTTTTTGATGGGGTTTGAAATCTTCCTACTAAAATATAAATGCTAATAATGACCAAATTTGGTTAAGGTAAAGAACTGTAATTTCACACTGCGTACAAATATGAAGACAATAATCAATCTTCGTTCCATTTGTGTACTTTTAAGGGTTTATAATCTCATTACCAACAGCGACTTTAATATACAAAAATATGTTTGCCGGAATTTTTCTATTTTGGTCCTTATTATGGCACAATCCCAATGCAAATGGGTACGCTCGCCTTTTCGGTAATCTAAAGTGGATATAACTTGGCATTCGGGATTCCCGCTGAATAAAAAACTTGTTTTCAGAAAGTTCCAACATAATTCATGTTCATTATTTTTACATCGCTCTCATAAAATGTACAACTTAATTTGGTTTTTCAAATTAATTTCTTGCAGCACATTGCACAATCACGGGGCATACACCAAATTTCAAAGACGTTGATATTTTGACACAAGAAAACAATTACAAACGACGATTTACTTTAGAAATGCTTAATATAATAAATGTACCACAAGAGAAGAGAATGAATTACAAGACTGACACGGACCACTGTGCACATATGTATAGAAATTTAGTTCATAAGCACAGACGAATTAGAGTTTAGTTTAGCATAGACGGTGTAACAAACATGTAGCTTCTCTCAAAACGTAATATTTGTGTTATATTATTCTGTGAAAACCTTATTAAATAATTGTATCTTTTAGTATTTCCCTGAAGATGACTGTCGAAGACAGTCGAAATATTGGAAAATAAAAATATAAAAAAATCAGAAATCATAATACAGAATTTTATTTAACCTTGAGCCGAACCAAATCCAAACAAGAAAAATAATACATCACAGGTTAACAAAAACAACAAAACAATTACAAAATGCTAAAAAAAGTGCTAGGTGCTAGATCAATTTTGAGTTAATGAAGTAGATTTGTTCTACATTAGACTTCATTTTGTGTGAATATCCAAATCACTGTTTTCAAATTCTGTTGAAACCCTTCAAAATATCGATAATATCACCATATAGTATTGACAAAAAATAATTTTTGCAGTTATTCTTCAGAACGATATCAAATATTGAGATATATGATATTATTTTTATTATTTTGTGTTTAAATTGCTCGTAATTGAACTGATAGCCACACAGTCATATTTAGTTCAATCATAAATATCCGATGGGAATTTGTTTCCCATGGAATGCAATTTACATATGGGTACAATCGTACAAATTAAAAACAAATCCACACAGATGTGAATTTGGCATATTTTGAGGTATGTGCACACATGTGTTTAAGATTTTTTAATAAAAATACATAATAGGGGAGACTGGGGCACCTTCGGCACTTTTTGTTTAGAGCTTTATATCTCAGCACTTATTCGACATATATAAAAACTTTATTATAAAAACTAGTACCAAAAGGACATAAAAAATTAGTATTAGTTAAACATTTTAACAGTTTTGTAAAAAAAGTCAAATTCGCCAAATGTGCCCCAACCCAGGGTAGCTTCGGCATTTGATGGGGCGCATTCGGCATCATAGTCATAGCCTGGTAATTATCATCGCTATCAGTCTGGTTGAAATTCAGATCCTCTACAGGCTATATTTGGTTTTGATACGTGACACAATGTTTGAATTTTAGGGCTACATTTTCTAGCGGCGGACGTTGATATCTCAAGGTCGCACACACAATCGGAAATAGGTTTTTTCTATCGCATATTCGTCAATACAAGCATGTTTAGTCATATATATTTATTTTCAAACCATATTAAAAGATTATTTTTAAAGACAAACTCAAAAATATTTTAAGGAAATAATATTGCACTAACTGTATATGACCGAATGTGTCCCACTTTAAAAAGCAGAATCTACCCCGAATGTACTTTTTATAGTTTTGTTTCATTTTTTTCTATCAGTCTTATAAAAACATTATATTTTTAAATAATTCTATAATAATACACATCGTAATTAACCACTTTTAAATAATATTGTCATAAAATTTGAAAAGTTTTATAGACGAAATACTTACGAAATGGAATGGATATATTACAAAAACATCTGCTAAAATACAAAAACTCGTGCATCTAAATAAGTTTATTAGCTAGAAATTTGTGACAGTTATTTATTTCGACCTATGTAACCTATGTATCGAAACTAGTGATGTACGGTGAGAGCTTCATATCGAAAACGCGATTGCCGAAGGTGCCCCAACTAGTTTGTTATAGTTTATCCGATTAGAAATTTGGAATGTTGTACCATATTGAGTCTATAATGACGTGTGTTAAGAATTTTAAAAATCGATCCAACTTTATATGTTCTCCAATTTTGTCTAAATGGTGCACCAAAGCCCCTATATTGAAATTGGTTCAGATTTAGGTAAAGATCCTATATATATATATATATATATAACACAAATCTAGTTCTATCCTAATGTTTGTACCATTTATTACCTATTGTACTCTTGTAGTACTTATTTCGTAGACTAATTTCAAATATCGTGATTCGAACTCTACAGGTTCACCCAAATTAAAAATTTACCAAATATAAATGCAATAGAAATCATATTTCCTAATTTCAGAATTCCAGACCGATCGCCCCACCAAATTATGTGCAATTTAGAAAACATCAGTATGAATTTCCAAAACATCTTATATAGTCCAATCCTACAAACCAACAGTGATTCTAAATTCAACTCTCAAGATTCCAGCTCTATCGGTTCATCCAAATTCACATTTGGTAGCATTTTGTACACATTAGTACAATCTTCCAAAACTTCCTGCAACTTCTTAAGAATTTTTCAAAACTACCTACATATATCATACTATCGGTTCATGCACAATTGAAAATGTACAACATTTAGTACACATTAGTATGCATTTTCAAAACTTTCTAACCAGTCCAATCCTGCATCCCAACAATGATCATAACTCAAAATTTCTGGATCTCAGCGGTATCGGTGCTACCATTTAGTATCCATGGGTATGAATTTCCAAAACTACATGCATACACCAATCCTACACTCCAACAGCAAACTTATTTCCAAATGAATTTCTATTGGTTCACCCAAAAAAACTTTCGGTACTATTTGTTCCACAGAACAAATTTCTAAAACTTCCTGCATATCCCAATCCTACACCCCAACTAACTCCAACTTTCAGGATTGCAACTCTATCTGTTCACCAAAAATCCAAATTTTACTAGAGTACTATTTTGTACTTTTCGTACACATAAGTAAGTAAATTTCTAAAACTACCTACATTTCGCTACACTCCGACGGCAATGTTAATTTCAAATTTCAGGATTTAAGCTTCACCCGTTTCTCTAAATTCAAGCTGTACCAAATTTAGCACGATTTAGTACTTTTCGTATACATGATTACACGCTTTCAAAACTACCTCCTTTTATCGACCCTACGTCTTAATCTTGATTCGCATTCCAAATTTCAAGTTCACATGTTACGATATTGCAACAAATTTGGTACATTTTAGTACTTTTCGGATATTTATAGTTAGATTTTTCAAAAGCTTTTTGGTACATCTAACCTACACTCCATCAGTGGCCCTCAATCCAAATTTCAGAGTTTTAGCTACCCCGGTTCGTCAAATATAAATGGTACCACATTGAGTACTTTTCGTGCCGTTCTAGTGGGTAAGCCAAGAGTGACCCTCACGCCAAATTTCAAGATTCTATCTTCAGCCGTTTCGTCTGGTCGTTAATGAATCTTTAAGTCACTCAGTAAATCAGTCAGGAAGTCAGTCAATTACTTTAGTATAGGTATGTATGTGTTTGTTCGTCCTATTTTCTGTAAATTTTGCACTTAACTCCCATCGTTTCTCCGAATCAGACTATATTTGAGTGTTATATTTTGTTGAAATCGGTTCAGACTTACTCGTAGATATACAGTGAGTCACAGTCAAATGTATCCAAGTATTTTGAAAATCAAAACTCAAAAATTGATATTGAATTTATATAAATATTGGTTAATTTATTTGCTTAATTCTAATTAAGGATGTCCATGGCCACATATAAAAAATTATAATGAAAAAGCCAAGTGGATACTTTTGACTGTGACTCACTCTAGTTCGATCGATTTCATGTAGATGGTGCTACGATAACAATAATATTTTTCACGGGGTTATTTTGCATAGAAGAGCAAATTTATTAGAAAAGGACGTATTTGGGGACTTGGTTTAAATCGGTACCCTACAATAAGAATCTTAGGAGCATCTCTTGTATATACTCAAAATGGTGAAAGGTATCATATAGTCGTTCGAATTTTAAATTTTCCCTACTGGTTATTTTACTTTTTTCCTATTTCCGCCGTTATTTTCACAACAAAATATGCCGAAATTTACATTGTATATTGAAATGGATGCGATAGAAAATCCGCCTGCAACATTGTTTTATGTAAATCACTACAAATGTAACATTTCACTAGAATGCCACACTTTTCGTTTTTATTTGCACTTTTTTAGGTTTTTTCTTTTTCAACAAACACATTACATTTATATAAAGAACACAACGCCTCCACACACACACACACAATCATATCCATTAATAACTCTTACCTTTTACATCAATATTGGCGCTAGCCTGAACACTGCCTAGGGCATTGGTTGCCTCACAGCGATATGTACCAGCCTGCAATAGTGTGGGCTTAACAATAACTAAACTTCCGTTGGCCTGTATACGCAATGCATCTGTGGACTGTGCTACTAGACGACCATTGAAATACCACAGTATCTCAGGGACGGGTAGACCCGTAGCCAAACAATCCAATCGGACTGGATCACCATTTAGGGCGACAATTGCATCCGATGGCGAGAGAATAAATACTGGCGCCTGGGGCTGAGGTTGCTGTGTTGTCGGTTGTCGTGTTGTTTGTGTTGGCCTCGATGTCTGTCGTTGTGCGTCCGAGTTTATTGTTCGTGGCGTTTCAATAGGACGGTGCCAAGTGCTAAAGGGTTCTAACTGCTGCTCGAAACCAGCATTGCTATTGTAAGCGTTGTTGTTTTCATTGTCACTAGTGTGTGTTATATCCGGATAAAGCATAGCATTTGTACGATAATGCTCCATTCCGTTGGGTGGTAGTGGCTGAGATGGTGGTTGTGGTTGATTCCATAGATGATTATTGTTGTTACTATTACTGATATAATGATAGTTGTCGTTGTTGTTGTGTCCGTTTGAGTTGCTATTGTCCAGTCCATGAATGGGAATATTATTGTCCACTACCATGCGAATGGGCTGGGTTCTTGTCTCGCCAACTTCATTGCGTCCAATGCACTCATAAATTCCAATATCATTTGCATTGACATCGTTTATTTTGAGGGTGCCCGTGGGCATCACCTGCATTTTGGGCGCATAGTCCTGTGAGATTTCGTTGGTGTTTTGCATCCATATAATTTCCGGCTGTGGATCTCCAACCATGCGACATGGTAATTCAACGCTTTCACCTGCTGTTAAATGCATGTCAAGCGGTGCTGTGACAATTTCCGGTTTTTCTGAAACGACAACGAGACGGACAAAAAAAAAGAATATTAAAAAAAATGAAGACACAAAAAAATTTCAAAACTGAAAATATAAATGAACTCAATAGCTGTTCTACAATTGTTAGTGATGGTTCGTTTAATCGTAGTTTATTGTTGGTGCTGATAAATATTCACCGTCTGTAGCGCGAAGTAAAGTCAGCCACTGAATTCCGCGTTTATATTTTCGAAAGCTATAGCCAGACAGTGTTTTTTACAAAATTCGAACACCTACAAAATTGAATGTGTATCTGGAACAAGGTAACCGTAAGATATCATATGATGCCTTCAAGGTGTCATCAGTATATACCACAATAACTTGTTGGAGATTAAATGTGTCGTACAACTAAAATATATTTTTTCTCCATAAACAAATTTGATATGATCCCTTATTAAGGGTATATGAGTTTTCTTGTCGACTACCTTATTTTGTTTGTTGGATTGCCGAACATTTGCGGAAACTTATCCACGTAAGACATAAGTTTTAATAAAGCCCCACATAAGGTTCGGATTTCGGGTAAATAAAAAACGTTTTCTAGATAATTTTTCAATATAGGTTAATGTTTGAAAACAGTCCCTCACATTTAGTTTGGAATAATATTCCTTCTAGAGCATGAAGAAACTCCTACCACATAATCCACATATAAATATGCTCACCACGTGACAGAGGGCATAAAAGTTCGTTTTCACTTGTTGGTATTTTGACAATATTGACAATATTGATATTGACAATATTTGTTGTTCTCCCCAGCTGTTTAATGTAGAATATTCTTGTTGGTACTTTAGTTTTTCGAGGGATAAGAAACTCCTAGTAAAATATTTTCAATGTGGGTCCATGTTTTAACATATTCCCAATGTCTGGTGTAGCCCCCATATAACGGTGCCCCCAGTATTTGGTATTCTAGGGATTTTGGACACGTTTTTCAACCGAATTGGCTGTAATTTAGTATTTTGTCACATCTCTCTCTTTTAAAAATATCATTATTGATCTCCGTTTCAATTTTCTCACGTATTTTTCGGTATGTCCTATCATAACATGAGTTTTCGTCCGGGTAGATAAATCTTTTTATACCCTCCACCATAGTATAAAGGGTAGATTAATTTTGTCATTTCCGACCCTATAAAGTATATATATGTATATATATTCTTGATCAGGGTAAAATTCAAAGACGATCCAGCCATGGCCGTCCGTCTGTTGTAATCACGCCATATTTTATATTAAACTAGTTATCTGATTTGTTTCACGTTTTGGGTTTGGTTCTAAGACCCTGTTGTAATCATTTCACTTGCGCAGGATATCCAGATAAAAAAACAACAACGTAAGGTTCGATAATGAACTATAATAAACTATTGCCCGCATTTAGGCGGACAATAGAAGGAGTGGACAGATATTCCTCAACTTCGAACTTGAACTAAGTTTGGAAGAAATAATAAGATGGGTAAAGTTTGGATGAAATGTTTTTTAAGTGATTATTTATACTCTTTCGAGTCGAGCTTGATGATCTAAGTTTTGCAATGAAAAGGAAAGCCAGGAGAAGAACCTACGTACCCACCATTATGCGACGCGTTTCGCCGTTGGTTAAGCGGCTCATCAGGCATATTGGGCTATGAGGCTTTACAGAGGTCGTACGTTGATAACTTGTATTTATTCCGCCCTGATGCGAAACTTGCATTTGCGAATTAAATTCAAATTTGTCAAAGTTCGACATTTGTCTTCATTCTAGAAACAGTACTTTTCAACGCAGATTTTTGTTGTAGCGATGGATAATTAATCCACACACCTACAATTTCTTCCATGGTATACACATGTTTTTGCGCAACCGTTTTGGAAGTGTGTTGATGGCTCAGAATGTTAAGTGGTCTGGCAACATTTGTGTTGCTGCGAGGACCTAGGTTCGAGCCCTAGCCGTGCGCGGCTGAAATTAATATTAGTTATTTGAATTTTGCCTTGTAAGGACAGTGATCATTTGAAAGTAATTTTAAGTGATTATTTATACTCTTTCGAGTCGAGCTCGATGGATGAAATGAAAATTTTCTGAAATGGATTTGGTCCAAAGAAACATGGGGTTTAGAACCAATATTTCGATGAGGTGCATAATTGCCCATTAACAATTTCTGAAATTTGTATTATGGTTTATATTATGGTTTATGGTAATTGGTTTGTAGTAATGTCGATTTATGTCCACCTTTTGGTATGTTCCCTATATTTTAATTTCAAGTGCCTGTCATTATATCTATGGTGGAGTGTATCCAAAGTTCGTCCCGGCCGGTTCGTAACGCTTTTTCTTGTTTAAATTAAATTCGTATAACCATACTTAATAACTGTAAAAAAATCCCGAAAGTTTTTCGATTAATTTGATTAAACAAAATGTTACAAATATTGTTGTATTCACTTCCTAATTACAGATAAAAATTCAACTTGACCACATATTATTCTATCCTTTTAAAGTATATATAAACTTCCCTTTTTCTCACACGTGTAATTCAATTTTAATTTCACTTTAAGAACACTTAAGGATTGTAATCCATCACTCATGTTGAGAGAGCCTGAGTGTATTTGTCTGTAGGAGTATTGAAAAACTCAAATTGCTTTCCATACGACTTGATGTAAAACAATTATTTGCACTAAACACAAGATGCCATCGATATCTTCTTTATTCTGTTACCGATTGAATTGCTACTACCCTTTTACCAATGCGAAACCATTACAGCTACACAATCAATGTGTAAATGTTTTGTTGTCAGAACTGGAAAGTTTGAATTTATTAATCGACATTTTTTACAGGAAAAAATGTGTGGTAAGTAATTGATAATAATTAAATTAAAAAACGCATAGAAATCTGAAAGGATGCAGAAAAATCGGAAATGGCAAATAGGGTCCACTGTGCGAAAAGTAACAGAAGATCCTATTAAAATATCCGAAAAGATGTCTGCACAGTACGCTTAGCTTTACATGCTTGGGAAGTTTCAGAACCACACATAAATTAAATAAATACCCGTTCATGTTCTGATATGATTTATTGTAACTTTCGATCCATCGATAATTCCCACATTCTAAATAATCGGGTATTTTCCAATTGTCATTCCTATTTTCAAATGTTAGTGATTTGAAAAGCTATCAATTTCTGATCATGTGTGTACATACGAACGAGCTAACGATAGGGAAACATGTATGCGAATAATCAAACGATATCACAAGGATATTGTACTTACTGCAGTGGAAATGGGATTCCCGTAATCCGTTAAAGCCATAACGATACAATGTGGCCGGTGTTTCACAAGTCAATGCGATGGTGATGAGTTTACGTTGCGGATGCTGTTGATAGTGACGCCACAATGAGTAAATGCCGCAATTACAGTCGATTGGATTGTCTTCGAGGCGTAGGCGTTTCAAACTTGGCAACCGTGTGAATGCATCTGGCGGTAGATTAGTGAGTTTGTTTTTAAACATGAAACTGTGGGTGTCGACAAGCAATACAATCGGGATATAACGGTAGCAGCGGTGCAGCAGAGTTGAAGGATATCATCGACACCATCATCATCATTATCGTCGTCGTCGTTATCAGCAGCATTATTAACAGGAAGACGGCAGATGAACCATTAGTAATGTCATCGACATTTAAATCAGGAGATTGAAAGTAGAACAAGTGGAAAAATTAAAACGTTTAAACGATATAACAACGATAAATGTACGGGTATATATTAAAATATGTGATGATGCTATGAAATAAAAAAAATGTGATATATATTTTACTTATCAGATTATAATACTACGTCCATTTAGCAATTTTCGTCAATCACGATAGAGCCTGCAATATGAATGATAGGCTCATATGAGCATTTTTGACAAAATTTTTGGTCTAACATTTGGAGTAGCCAGTTTACGTTTTGGTATAGCTCCCATAGAATGGTAACATCGCATATTCGGCATTTTGAAGACTAAAACATTTTAGCACCGATGTGGCTGTAATTTGTTATAAAGGCTTATGTAACGCAGACCATGTATTGACATAACCACCATATAAAGGTAGCCCCATCTTGTCAGTATTTTGAAGGATTTTTGTTTGATTTCCCCCTGTAGGGTAGAAAAAATATTGTGTCGAAAATTGCTTTATAGATACAAGTTTGCTATAATTGCACATAAATGTTACACCCTTTATTATAACGCACAACACGTGATGGAGGGAAGAAAAAATTCGGCACGACCGAACTTGACGACGTTTTTACACCCTTCATCACACTGTGGTAGAGGGTATAATGTATTTGTGCAAATGTTAGTGACAGGCAAAAGGAATCGAGATAGACGCATGGTTCCTTTTGAGAATAGCATAGAATCACATTCTGAGTCGATTTATGCATGTCCGTCTCTCCGTCCGTCTGTCCATGTATTTTTGTGAGCAAAGTATAGATCGCATTTATGATCCGATTTGGATGAAATTTAGCATATGTCGCTTGTTTGGCCCAAAGACGAACCCTATTGAAATTGAAAAAAAAACGGTTCAAATTCAGACCGTACAGATCGCATTTACAATGCGATTTGGATGAAATTTGGCACAGGCCACTTGTTTGGGCCAAGGACGAATCCTATTGAAATTGGAGAAAATCGGTTCATATTTGTGTAAATGGAGCACCATACTGCTAATATTTGTCTTATTGAGACAAAATTTTGCAAAGCGTATTGAAAATACTACAGATTGACGTCAGTGAAGTTTTGTTGAAATTGGATCAGATTTGGGTATAGCTCGTCCAATTTTAAGCACCATTTACAAAAAATGTTTGTCCAATTGTTAAAAATTTTTGTGCAAAGAGAACCAGAAATGTACACTTTCTAATGCCGTTGGAATTTGCGGACTCCGATGTTCCAGTAAGGAGTTATCGTGCCCGCCATCAAAACCAAGAAATTTATTCATTCACAAACAAATGTTATCTCTTGACCATAGTGTAATGTGCAATGTCGAGCAATGTTGATTTGAAAATGTATATTTTTTCTGTGATTATTCGAGAATATAATAGCTTTTGTGAAGTCATTCTGAGCTGCAGATAGCGGTTCGAAATCTTCCGCCCAGAACCGCCGGCTACAGAACTATGGAGTTTCTCATCGTCTTTTCATCATTATCCTTTTACATTGGTCATGGCAGAAAATCAATTCACCATTATTCGAGTGCCTCATATAGTCGGATCCACACTAGTCTGGGCATTTCCTAATGATAATAACACTAATGGCTAAAAACTTGTCCGGCTTGAATTACACCATACATGAATGGTTATCCTTGGTTCTGGATGTTTTAACACAAAATTATTCAATGAATAGTAGAATGGTACTTACATGCGATTCAAAACCGGTAGATTGGCAAATGTATCAGCATCAATTTGCCAGATATTATTGCTTTCCAGATAACTTTGAGATTGTACAGCAGCCGTCGGAGAGTGAACATGAAAAGAGTGTTGAAAAAAAAGACAAAATCAAATGAATTTCAGTTCATATATCATTTCCATTCTGAATGCTATGCCAAATGTGTATGTACATTTACATCTGTCGTTTTCTATGCCTACATATGTATGTATGTACATCGACGACCATAGATACCATATATGCTGGACTAACAATCATACTTACACTCCCTCCAGTTGTTTCAACGGTTGGAAAATGTTCTTCGATAGACGGGTGAGTTGATTTGAGTTGAGATAAAGGAAACGTAATGATGGCATTCCTTCAAATGATCCATCCTCCAAGTGGGCAATTTCATTACCATTAAGAAAAAGTGTAGTCACCTGTGAAAGTCCATAGAAAGCCCTACTGGGTATCTCGTTAATGTTGTTGAAGCGCAAATCTCTGTAAAGAATGAACGAAAAAACGAAAAATTAATAAATTTAATGACCAAATTATTACAGTTAGCAATTCCTGTGAAATGAACGGGTTCGTTCCCACAATATAAATACATTTCATAATTATTCATACTATTATAGTATTTATATCTAAAATTAATGGGATGCTCCTAGGAGAAAACTTATGTTATGATAGGACCTTGAAAATACCGACAAAAGTCGTGAGAAAAAGCTTATGTTGTTATTGAAAACATGTGTCCAAAATTCCTAATATACCGAATATTAGGGGATACTGTTATATGGGGGCTACGCTGAAACTAAAAAGTACAGACAATTCGGTTGAGAAACGTGCCGAAAATCGCATAAATACAAAATATTGGTGACTACCATAATATGGGGGCTACCCTGAAACACGTTTTGGTAGTGAGTGTTGCAAAATACCAATTTGCAGGCAATGCGGTTGAAAAAAGTGTTCAAAATAGCGAATATTAGGGTGGAGATATCCTGAAAATGGGTCCTTTATGTCCAATGAGGATATACTCGTATACACTTTGATATGGCCAATATGTGCCTCATGGAATTATTGGGTTTAGACCCCATATTTTGGAAGCGATTTACAAATGTCCGTACGTCCGTCTGTGCGCACGATAACTCTCGAAAGGAGTAACCGTTTTCATTCAAACATTGTAAATCGTAATATTTCTTCCAAATTTTGTTTAAGTACGAATATGAATATCGGTTCACTTCTTCTGGTACCTCTCCCACAAAATTTTCAGAATTTTGCTGAAAAAAATTGTAATATAACGCGAATGGACTATACGTTTTAAACCAAATTTTGCACAACCTATTATCATTATCAAGCCTAGATCAAGACCAATCATGGGACCCATTGGTCCACACCTTCTGGGTCAACATTTTCAATATTTATAACTTCAATATTATCCGAAATGAATGTCCGATTTGAACCAAACTTGGCACAACCTATTATCTTTACCAAGCCTTGATCATGTCCGAATATAAGACCCATTGGTCCACTCCTTCTGGTACCTCTCCCACAAAGCTCAACATTTTCAATGTATATAATTTCCATATTAGGGGAAAGAATGTCCGATTTGAACCAAACTTGGCACAACCTGTTATTTTTACCATGCCTAAATCAAGTCCGAAAATGGAACTAAAAGGCCCACTCCTTCGGGTACCTCCCCCACAAAGGGTCAACATTTTAATGCATATAAATTCAATATCAGGCTAATAAATAAAACTTGCACAACCGATTATTAAGGGGACCCCCATTCTCGAGGTTAATTTTTTTTATTTAATTCGAATCTACACTAATTCAACAATGTCCCTACAAAATTTCAAGAGAAAATCACAAGAACTCCTGAAGATATAGACGATTTATTGTATCAGAATCAAGTGACGGCTAAAGGGCTTCTCAAACTTTAAACACGTTTTTCTCTTTTGCGAATGGCGGGCACGATAACTTAAAAACTAATAACCCAATCGATTCCAAATTTGTACGCGTTTCTCTGTGAGTGTATAGCTATCGTATGAACTAGGATAAAGCCAATCGGTGAAGATCTTCCTTATTTTTAAACTTGGTTTTTGGTCAAAAATCGGCAATTTTCCAAAAATATTTTTTCAAGGGTCCGCCATTTTGTTAATTTTAGTGCGAAGTCAATAATCCTAGTTCAACCGATTGAACCGATTTGATTAATATTAAATCCGAAATCTCTTCGATATAAATCGTATATTAAGCGAATACTAAATCCGAAGTTTAATTCCGAAAATCTCTGCAAACCATAGGCTGAGGGTATATATATATATATGTCGGCAATAACGACTGATATTTTTTTTCTTACGGAGATGTGTTATACAAAATTACAGCCAAAAAAACGTGTCCGGAGTACTAGCAATGTCTGTGCAAGATTTCAGAACCTTAAAAATGGTTATCTCTATCGTGATTTCGTGAAAAAAGTCATAACCCTAGTGAACATGAGACTTTCGTCTACTATGCACATGTATAAATAAACCCATGGTGTAAGGTATAATTAAATACAGAAAATTTTTGTGAAATTATCACCTTAAAGATTTTACATTTGAATAGCCTATCCATTAGTTTTCTTCTGTTCGTTTGGACTACATGTTTCCGTTCTGAATGTGGATATGTGCAACATTCATCGGCACGTTACTGTTCAAGAACAAAATGGAGTCGTGATTGCGTGAACATGTTTCAATATTTGGATACTCTCAGAGAGATGAAATTGGATTTTGCATTGTGTTGGTGGCAGGCATGTGTGTTTGTGGCTGCAGTGCTTTCGGTCTTAGTGGTCCTTTGAATGCATTTGTTTTCAGCTATTCACACCATGTACCAGAGGGTGGGATTCAGTAATCCGGAAGCAATAGTCTTCTTGTGTGATTTCAACTCAAAATTTATGGTGGTGAAAAAGTAGGTTAGCTAATGAGTGCTGGTTGGCTAAATGGCTCTGAATGTATTTCATACTTCATGCCAAGGATGTCTAAAATGTTCTGCCAGTTAGCTGGGTAAATTGGTTTTGTTGGTTTCTTTTCTCTTGGCATCAAAGTTTAAAAATTATATGAAAATAAATCGAGTTGAGTTCATGTTCAATTTGTTCGTAATCGTTTCAGATGCAGTCAATGGTGAAATATTTTAACTGGTATTATGCAACGTTTACCGCATTTGCAAGTCTATATTGGCAATTGTCGATTATTCGGTGCACACGCCATACATTTTTCATATAGGTATAATTGATGTAGTTATGCCTACAAGTGTGGAATGTGCAACATAAAACATAAATCCTTATATAGGTATAAATTCATGAATATGATTACGTGAAAATTTTTTATTGATCTAGGCTTTGTAAAAATAATAGTTTATGCAAAGTTTAGATCAAATCGGACATTTCGTTCGCCTGATATTGGATTTATAATTATATTGGACTTTATCTAGGCTTGGTAAAGATAATAGGATATGCATAGTTTGGATCAAGTCGGACTTTTCGTTTACCTGATATTGGATTTAAAAATATTGAAAATGTAGACCCTTTGTGGAGGTTGTACCAGAAGGAGTGGATCAATGGATCTTATCTTCCTAATTGATCTAGGCTTGGTAAAGCTAATAGGTTGTACCAATTTTGGTTCAAATTGGTCCGTTCGCATAATACGGTCGACTCCGCTTTACTGAAATGGAAAAAGATCTGATTGTTTGTTTCAGTTATCCGAAGTTTTCAATTAAGCGGAGTTCGGTTAACTGAAAATATTTCAGTTTTCCGAACTTCTCATATGCGAAAAAAAAATTGTTTTAGAAATTTCAATAATACATATTTTTCGAGTTTTACGAATATAGATAGAAATTAAAACTGGTTGGCATGCTCATTTCTTATGTGACTTTTATTATGAACTGTCTTTTGATGCGGCTTGTAACGAAGTCCATCGTCTGCCTGTTGCAATGCTATGTTCCATTTTAAATATTATTTCGTCAATAATATATTTTAATATTTATGATACATCTTAGATGGATTGATTTAAAAAACGAAAAATATCGAACCATGTCTTTGAAAATGTTTTATATTAAGATACTAGCCGATTTTAAGCCTACTTAAGGCCTAACATTGCTGCAATATGCAATATGGGGTTGTGAATGACTAACATACCTGATTGCTAAATCTGTTCATAATAGATTCACATTTATACATTATTCCTATATCGTCTATTCTTGAAGGGTTTAAATAATCACTTAGAGTAGTTACAGATGGAAAACCTCCTCAAATGTTTGTTAATTTTATGGGACCTCGTATAGGCATTTCGCTTATGAACGGTACATTCTGTAACATATTTTTATACATACTTGATTCTTGTATATAAATTATAGAAATGTGGAACACTGTTTTTGAGTTCCTTTCAAAGTTTGGCCGGACAAACTTAACGTTCTTCGACGTCATGTTTATATGTAGTTGACAAACACGTTCCATATGTCGGTAATAATCAAACTACTTTGCAAACTACTCCGTAATTATCTTTCATCCTCATGACTTTCAGTAATGCGGTGTGATTTCAGAGGAAATTGCAATATTTGACTCCAAACGTTATTTCAGTTATCCGATATTTTCAGTTATGCGAAGTTTCACTTATCCGGAGTAAATTGTGGGCGACTAACCTAAAATGAAATGGTGCAGGAAATCTATTTCACTTATTCGATATTTTTCAGTTAAGCGACTTACAGTATAGCGGAGTCGACTGTATTATAAAATAAATTTTTTAGCACAATATTTACCATTTGGTAGGGAGGTTAACAAAAGGAGTGGACAGATATACCCCATCTTCGAAGTTTGGTAGAAATATTAAGATGTGCAAAGTTTGGATGAAATCGGTTACTCCCTTCGACAGTTATCGTGCCCACCAGTCGGCCGACCAGACAGACGAACAGACTTTTGTAAATCGACTCCAAATTGTCCGAAACGGATTTGGTCCAAAGGAACATGGCGTCTAAAAACAATATTTCGATGAGACACATTTTACCCGCATAGGCTGAGGGTATAAAAAACAATTTTTTTAACACCGAGAATCTTACAAAGAACGAAAGATAAAGTTACAATTAATGAACAAGCATTTGCACTCTCTGGCGAATGTTCGAATTGTACAAAAAGTCCACGAACGCTAAAACTTCGCTGCAAGCATCGCCGATTAGATCTATCGCTAGCATTCGTTGCTGAAGAGCATTCATTTGAAAAACTCAAAAACAAAAAATGGTGAGCATATCTGAAATAACAAAACACATGCCCAACGACTATTGGGTTCATGAACGTTGGTTGTTATTTTTGTTGCTCTTTTGAGCATTTGCGATGATCGCTCTCATTCGCGAATGTCTCATTCGTGATG